TGTTTTGTGGTTTTTTTGGGGGGGGGGGGGTTGTGTTTTGTTTGTTGTTTTGTTTTTTTTTTTTAATTCTGTGTGTGTCACCAGTTTGGCAAGGAGTGAAAACAGTGCTTTCACCTGTTAGAGTAAAGGCATATAACTATAAGCATATAGCTATAATTCATTCTGTCACAATTAATTTGTGACTTGCTGACTGGGTTGGGCAGGAGCAGAAACGGTATCTCTTATTTGCTAGAGGGAAGGTAAAGTGATACTATAATTGTTCTGGGCAGCAGACATTTATCTCAGTTTCAGCTGTAAATGGTTATACTACTTTCAAGATTCTTTAAAAGGGAAGCTGTAAGTGTCCAACCCACTCTCTCTGTGATACACCTACTAAAGCAAGGGACAAAAAAAGATGTGCAAGCCTAGGAATCTCTTAAAATACTCTGGTATTTTGCTGTCAGAGCAAAAGCACTGTTAAAATGGTACTGCCCTAGGAAGTCTGATTCTAGAGGACAGAAGATAAGAGAATTGCTTGATTTTTTTTTTAGGCAAGAAAACTGAATTAAACTGTTACATTCCTCTTTTCATAGAGATTTGAACCTTTATGTTTTCAGGGCAGGAGAAACTTGACATGGGAAAAAACATCATGAGGTTCCTCTGTACTCTGCTTTCTCTTACTGTGATTTGCTGGCTAACTGAAGGTACTCTGTCAAAAACAGATGCAAAGAAAGGTGCTACAAAAAAACTGGAAGAAAAGGTAAGACAAATAACTGAAATGCTAATTTTATTTGATATGTGAAATGAACTAATTGAACTTTGGTAAATGGACTCTCATTTTTGTCAAAATGGCATTAAAAGCAACCATGCATATCCACTGAAGCTTATGCTCATAAATAAGACTACTTGAAACTGTCCTTTCCTTCAGCTTTTGTGAGTGTCTCAGATGGTTCGCTCCTTGAACCAGCCTTGATGCAGACCTCTGGAGCTTTAGCCCCCATGCAAGCTGCAGAAGCAGGAAGTTTTTGTCCCTTCTTGCATACCTGAAGGGAATATATTTCCGTCCCTTTGGAAAGTGGAGCTGGGAACAGTAGTTTGGGCCAAGAGTGCTGGGTCATTTACTGGTGAAAGAGAGGAGGCTTCCCTTGCTAATAGGAGGACTATATTCTGACAGGAAATTCTGAAGAGCCTCCTAACCAGCAGTTCCTTTGCAGGCAGAAATGATTCATAGTCTCGCAGCAATCTGAGCAAGTGAAGCCAACATGGTGAAGCCTTTCTTAACTTGCTAAGCATGTTCTTGTTTCCTGCCTGTTTGCTTTCAAAACTGCAAGAAGGCACAGCAGTGCAAGAGTGGGTGTGTATGCAGAGGAAGTACATTTACCAGTGCATATACCAAGTATGTGTACTTACTGTTGCTAAACATGTTAGGAAAAAAAAGTAGATATGGTAAAAATCCTCTCTCTTAAATTATAAATATAGTTAATCCTTCATTATACACATGCATCTCTCATTGTTTATATTGCTTGCTCAGTGTCTACCAGGAAGAAGCTCTAGTCTGCAGGTAGTGAGGATAATGCAAAGTGTTAAGACAGGTCTTATCCCTAAAGCCCTTATGCTGAATCAATAGGTGGTTTCTGTGTACTCACCATGCACACTTAATTAGGCCTTATCATGCTCTTTCTGTCTACTAAAACTATTTGTGCTGTTTCAGTTAAAGCAAATTTTCCTTAAAGAAAGGTATTAAGAACCTTGGCCTTCAGTGACCACAGTACAGCATAGTCAGTCTAACTATATCCAGTTTTAGTATTCAAATTATTGATTAAGAAATCCTGACTGCTTGTTATCATTTTGGGGGTAGCATGCCAGAAAGCGTTTGCTAGAGAGCAGAGTGCCATCAGCTGTGGTGAATGATGGTTTTTAATCTTATAAATTCTTGAATATTATTTTTCATTCGTGTGCTTTTTGCCTTGCAAACAAAGTTTACTGATGATGACAGATCATTTCTGAGCACTGTTTCAGTTTTAAATCAAACTGCTCTACACTGTTTAAAAGGAGTCTTTAGGGTTTAATGATGTGAATTTCTTATTTTATTTTTTCTTTAAGTCTGTTGCTGTTGAAAATGGCTGTTTCGTGTAGCTGGTTGTAAACGCTGTCTCTGCCCCCAGACACTGCATTCTGATAAGGACGTGCAGGACCGGGGACTGGTAGTTGTGGATCTAAAGGCAAAGGATATTATACTGGAACACAGAAGTTATTGCTCCAAGAAAATGAAGCAAAGACATTTCTCGGGAGATGTTCTTGGTTATATTACTCCTGTAAGTTAGTAAAATGAATAAAATAGTGCTTTGAGTGAATATGCAGCAGACTCTGCTAATCTGCAGTCTTGCATCTCTGCTTTAAAAGCATTTTTACAATAATGGAAACTTCTGGTTAAATAGAGCATTATCGAGAGCTGGCCTGGGACTCAGGTGGTCTCAAATCCTTGTTCTCCCATCCATCTCTTGGAGGATGTCTAAGTCATACTGTTTTTTTTCCCTCACTGTTACAACAGAGATGATAGTATTCTCTTGTCCTCAGTGAGCCATGTGAAGTTGCAGTAAAGTCAGAACAAGAGGACTACTAAGCGTCCTCATAACATGTAGCTACCAACTTGCACCTTCTAAATAAACAGTAAAAAATTTATGCTGCTATCAAGCGGATCTCTTTTGCTGTCCAGTCTTGCTGTTATTCAGAGGATCTTTTCTTGAATAATAAATGTTGCTTCCTTTTGTTTAGAGGATGCATTTCATTTGTATCAGCCTTACACAGCTGAAAAGAGAAGTAGGTGCCCTATGAATTGTCACCTTTCTGAAGTTCTCTTGAACATAAATGTAGAGTCTGTAAATTTGAAACTGTTGGGATTTACATTCAGATTTCTGTAGTTCAGGTGAATTTGCACAATTTGAAGATTGCCTTTCATGTAGCTGTCAGTTTCCACAGTACTTTCTTCTTTAAGGAAAAATAGTGTCCCGGAAGGTTTATTCAAACTAACAAATGGGGACCTAGCAAATGATTACATTTGTGTTAAAGAACTTGTATTGGTCAATATTAAAGTGAACTGTATATCTTGCTTTTGAGTCTCTCACTTGTTGTTTGGTTTTTTTTTTGTTTTTTTTTAATCTCCTTTCTTTTGCAAGTGGAACAGTCATGGCTATGACATTGCTAAAATATTTGGAAACAAATTTACGCTAATCTCACCAGTCTGGTTACAAGTGAAAAGGAGAGGGAAGGAAAGTTTCCAGTTCACTGGACTCCATGATGCTGATAAAGGTGTTACTTTCTTTTTCTTTGATTGTGCATTGCAAGTAAGATTACTGGTCTCATTGCAGAGTAGGTACCTTTGGCAGTATGTGCATGTGGGTTTTTCTGTTTCTGCCTTATAGTGAAGTACTTCCATCCATTTCAATTATTCGAGGGAGTTTTCTTCAGAGTGAACTTCTTTTAGTCCCCATCGGCTTCCAGATGTGTACATAGCTTATCAGTTCAAAGAATGAGCAGAAAGATTGGCTCTTCCACCAGGCTGTCTACAGAGCCCCTCTTAAAAAAAAAAAAGGAAGGGACAAAGAATCTGTAGAGGTGGAAATAGTCTTTGGTATATTTGCACTGTTCAGTTGTTAACCTGTTGTGTGGTTCCTTCCCACCTTTGCAAAAACCTTTGGGTGAATTCTTTGGGTGAACTTGTTCTGGGAGTGGAAGATAATTTTAATCTGAAGAGATGTTTTTTTTGCTTTACTTTCAAGAAACTGGTAGCAAGTGCACATTTCAGCTAGTATGTTCTTAATAACTAAGTAATTTATGGTTTTGAACTCAAGTGAATAGAGAATCTTATTTGAAACAGCTATAATTCTTACTATGTTGTTGTCTACTAGCAAATTCATTGTAGTACAGTGACTGCCAAGAGGAGTGGATGGGACACTTAAAAGTACAATCTTAAAAAAAATTAAAAAAAAATTATTCCTAGGTGATGCTTCGTGACTGCATAAGTCGTGTTCTAAGTAGTCAGTAAGACAGTTTCCATCGTGAGGCAGAACTATGAGCGGCAGAGAGGGGTTGGGTAGGGACTATTGTAAAATTGCAGTGAATGCTAGTTATGCTGTGGTGGAGGCGAATACCTTCAAATCCTGTGTATTAGAGGATGTTTCATGTGTGTTGGCTATGAGCTAGTAGTCTGTGGCAAAAAGATAGGTAGAATGAACTAGGCTACGTTATTTGAAGAATGCTTGAAAATATGTTGTCATTGTCAACATCATTCATATTTTAACAGTTGTTCTCTTACTTGATACTGTTTGGCAGGCTGGATGAAAGATGTCAGAAAAAACTCCAAAAACATCAAAGTTGGTGAGCCTGTTTTTTTGTTTTTTATCATCTTTAACTGCTAGCTGAGCAAAAGAAGGCTTTGTTCCAGATGTATATGGGAGTAAGGGAGGTTACCTTATCATAGTTGTATGAAGGAAAATGTATGAGAAGAAAAATAAAAGCAGTTAACAATAGATAGTTAAGTAACTGAAGTGTTGATACTGTTGGTGCCCTAATGTTTTGCCTTAACTTCTTGTTTCTGGATAAACCCTAGCTCACAAGGCCCTCCCTGTAGGGGCACTTCATGTATAACTGTACATGTATATAATACTACTGGGAGAACAGTCTTCATACTTGTTGCTCAGTTAGAAAAAAAAAATGAATTCCAACTCTGAGTCAGTTAGACTTTCTTGCATGATAGTTGAAAAGTCCTCCTTTGCCTCTTCTCCTCTTGAAGCTGGGAACTGAAGGGATGTGCCACGGTGCATGCTTTAGGGAAAATACCAAACATTGCTGTAGAGAGAATACTGTGCTAGACTTACATTTTCTATAGCAAGAATTCTGTGGAATTGCAAAACCCTTCTTAATTCAGAATGGAGTACGAAACTTGAAAGGCATTAGAAAAATTGAGTGCTCGGTCAGATATTTTAAATCAGCTGCCAGATGATAAACCTTTAAATCTCTTCTAAAATACGCTTCTACGTCCTTGGTAGTTACAAAAGGCTTAAACATAGGTCTGCATGAGTTGTTGGCTTTTCTAATGTGCATGATTATCAAATGTTTCAACAGCAGTTTCCCTGACTCTTATCTGACTCTTTTGAATGTTTTGGATTGTTAGAAAAAGAAATTACATGATCTCAGGTGCCTGTGTTTTTCCAAAATAAAAAATTCGTCACAGGGTCTTTAGTAGAAGAGTGTACAAGGTTGTGTATAAAAGAATAAATTAGAATGAGGTGAACTTTTCTTGTGGTAGAATAGATGCACAACTTGCAGAAAGATTGCTGCTTCATGTTGGTGTTATTTTAAGACTTTACATGAAAGCTCAATTAAGATCATAGACTCAAGTAATAGAATCAAATAGTTCAATCAAGCGAAGGTATCTTTTCTTAAAACTTGCATCAATGCTGACCTTTAACTAAACATAAAATAAAGAAGAATGTTTTGCAGTGTCAATTTATGTGTGCTGCTAAAGTTGGTCACAGTAAAAGAGCAATGATCTTAGTTATGGGGTGTGTTGTTTAGTGCCATCTCTGCTTGTATCTGCTGTATTCTGTTTCTGCAGAAATACTCCAGTGTAGATAGATAATAAATTCTTCATTTTCACTACTGATTGACAACTTTACTTGATAGTGCCTCGAATTTTGTTTGATGGCTGGACTTACCAGGACTTCGAAAGTGTTTTTGGCAGTGAGGATGAGATAGAGGAGCTTTCTGAGAGTATGGTTCTTCTAGCCAAGGTAAAAAGACTTTTTGAAAATGCTTATAAAGCAGTGTGAGATTGTTTGATGCCTTTTGAGTGGGTGTTTTCTCAGTTCTAGAAAATCTGCTCAAAACAATAATGTGGCAGGATTCTTAATAGTGTGTCCTAGTATGTGCCCAATTCCTATAAATACAAAGTATATATACACTTAAGTGCAGTTAAGTAAAAGTCTAAAGTGAAACTACGCAAGTCTGATCAGCATAACCTTGTTATGTTATCATTGGCAGCTCCACAGGTGACTTTTGCCTGGTATAAGTGATGATTGATAAAACTTGTTCCAAATAGGTGACAGACTGAGCATTACTGAGGTAGTAGCAGATACCTGATAAACATCTCATGGAGGTTGCCTAGTGAGCAGACTGCTTTCTTTTATATTTCTATTAAAAAATAAATTTTATTACGTAGAGGTTAAAACTGGTTAGTAGCTTTTTTTGATAGGCAGAAAAAGGGTCATGAGTATAATGAGTGCTATTTTCTGTGTGACAGGAGTACATTTGGTCTCAGTGTGATGGAGCTGATGAGCCACTTTTACTACCAAGAATAACTCACTGGATGTCTGTTACTGTACAATTTTGCTCAGGTCTGATAAACCAGTTTGCTTAAAATATTAGAGGCTGGAAAGAGGAGAAGAGGATTTCCTTTGAAGAATGGTTACTAAGTTTTTTTGCTCAGCCCTTTAGCTCATAATGACTTTAGAGCTATGCATGTGTGGGACTAGACAAGTTGCACCCAAAGACATTTACCTTTAGTGGTTTATTCATGACAGTCTGCTTTATTACTGTCAGAGTAAGTTTTCTCACTTGCAACACAATGTAAAGAAATCTTACTGTACTCTAGAGGAAGACGGATGTAGAGGTAAACCGAATAGTTTGTTTAAATTTGTAACTGATACATCAATTCTAGGTCCTTGGTAAGGGTTGGCCCCTTAAGGAAAGGGTACTCAAGTTGGCAGTATCCTTGATCATGCTAAACATAAATAATCACAAGTGAGATTAATTTTGGGAGATGTTTGGAATCATACCTATGCCAAGTTAGCATTTACGTTTTTAGACACAAGAGCTCATGAGTTTTTTACCAATATACATGTAAATGTATGTCAGATGATTTGCTTAACAACCATCGTTCATTAATGACTGAATTTTCCCAGTCTCATACTGGTTGATCCTGTAAGAGTGGAAGTCATGGATAATTAAGAGAGATTTTCAACTTTTGCATGTTTGTTAAATAATTTGTGCTTCTTTTTGACTTCGTCATGAAATGCTATGTTAAAGACAAAGCTAGTGTAGGAATACAAAGCATGTTAATCTGTAGCAGTATGAGAAAAACTACAGTAATTACGTACTTTGCTACCATATTATAATCTCTGATAAATGCATAATGAATAAGCATGGTGATTATATTGTTGTTGTTGATTCCCTTTACTTAGAATGAAAATTTTGATGGTTTTGTAGTTGAAGTTTGGAGTCAGCTGGGAAATCAAAAGCAAACGTGAGTATAAGTCTCTAATTAATTCCTAAAAATCAGCTCTTTTAAATTATCTTTTTAATTTATCCATATTGATTTGAATTTTTCGTTATAAATAAACTTCATTCTAAGACACCTGAAGATTGTTCTGTTTATCTTAGAATGAGTGCAAAGATTACACAATAATCATAGTGGACCTAGCAGACCATATTAGCCTTTCATGCTTGAGTTCTGTAAGGTGTTACTATTGTGCAGGGGTGAAGAGGGTACCTCATTGCATGCTTACTCAGGTGTTGCCACCAGCATTTATTATGACATTGACTGGTTTAGGTTACTGCGTGAAGCTTGCAAATGGCGGATGCTTTCAAGACCATCAAATTTGAGTTGATTAGGAAACCTTCCAAGCCTTTATATAGAGATCTTTTAGACATACTGAAACTAAAACCAAAATCCCCGACGAAAAGTAAATCTAGGGAGAAACTGCAGGCACAGTATATTTAAAGTCTGTATTTTAGAGTAGCTAATCTACCTTTTAGTAGCTCTGCTATGAAGTTTCAGTGAGTCTGCATTTATTGTAGCTGCTAAAACTAAAGGGCTTATCTATATTAAGCTGTTTCCTGACATACTGGTTTCCTTGAGCAGAAGCCTGTCTTAACACCTTGGACAAGATTCAAGGTAAGGCAAGCCCCAAACTGCTGCTTCAGGAGGAAAAGGCAGAATGTGTGGTGAAATTAATGATTCAGCGCAGTAATCTGGCAGTTTTGTGTTAGTTCCCTTAGGAAATTCAGGCATCCATTCCCTAAAGCATGTTATTCCTACCAGCTCTCTATTGCCTAAAATGTCTGGGGAAAAACAGATTAGAAGAAAGCTTCACAGAACACAGACTTCATTATTGAAGACTTTAATCTTTTAAAAATGGTTACTTCAGGTTATTCTGTTCAAGACAAATGTTACTGACTGGCATATAATAGTAACTACTGGAACTGAGTATGCTATTAACACAGTCCTAACATTTCCCTATAAAATCAACACTGGGGAACAAAGAATCGAAACTGCAGCATCTTAGTAGCTTTGTCAGGGGATCCACCATTTGTACTGGAACAAATAATTCTTAAGCTAGATGCTCTTGCTCACAATTAGGTAATTTGCCACGTTGTTCCCAAGACTTGATCTCTATCCTGAGCTCTGAATCTATTGCAGTAAGACAGCCAAAGGGTGATTTAAGCAATTAGTAGCTGCCAGTCAGAAGTTGGGTGTAGTGGTCAGTTTGTGTATTGTTTCCTGTATTTCAGTAAAATAGATGCTTTTCCTATTAGCTAACTTACATGAATTACTATACTACTATTACTATATTACTGTAATTTTAAGATTCACTGAAGACCAACTTAAGCATACTAGCATCAAAGTTTGGTATTGCAGATGGCACACATGAACAAAGCATACTTTTTTTATTAACTCATGGGTAAATTTACTTGTGGCATGGTAAATATGTTACTCTTTGCCAGAAGTAATGCTGGTTCAAAATAGCATTGCTTGTCCTATTTAGTATCATAACTGTTTGTCCTAGGGGAGTTAGGTTGCTTTGTAGTTGCTCTAGCCTTCAGTAACCAAGTGTTATTAAGGTGAAATATAGAAGCACTGCTTACGTTCTCACTGTCTGTTATTGATTAACAGGAGTGGGAAGTATTCAGAGAAGGGTCATACTCGCAGAGTAGAATGCTAACTGCCTCCTTTGCTCTAAGTCCGCAGTGTTTGATCATATGTGGTCGCCTGTGAACAATAATTTAGGGTTACCCCAACTAAAAAAGTGAAAGATGGTAGAAAAACACGAATAGAAACAGAAAGTTATGAACTGCAGATTTTCTTCCTCTTCAAGACCAGACTGGATTTAAGTGCTTCATTGCAAACTCATCTCGTGTTTTTTACCTCGCCACTTCCCTAGAAATAGTTAGCGTGCTTAAGTTGAAAAATACTTTGTGTTGGGCTTACCTCCTCAAAGACAAGGATTCTGACTAAGCCTGGTCTAGGAAGCAAGCTGAAGCTAGGCTTGCATGTGGAATAACAGTTCTCTTAACGTAGAAGTGCATCATTACTTTAAAGTTTTGCTTTGTGATGCCCATAAGATATGGCACCAGTTTCTTCGTTTTGAGATTAAGTCATTTTGTCTATCACTGGCTCAAAAACTGGGTGGCTTGGATATCCAGTGCCCCAGAGGTTTTCCCGATCAGTGTTGTTTTGAGTCAACAGGTGCTTTGAACAGATCTTAACAGATAGAATAAAGTGAACTTGGCACCTTGGCAAGCCTGTATTTTAATTGCCCACTGAGTGATATTACTTTGGGATCTGATAATTTCCTTTTGAATAGCAGAGCAGATTTATTCCTGTTAAATGGATAAGCATCGATGGTCTTTTGCTTCCCTTCCTCCTGCCAGAAAAGTGGAGCAGCCCATGACCTCTTCAGCCCACAGAGTGGCAGTATTGTAACATGCCTCATCGTCCTTGTCAGATTCTTTTGAAGGTGACAAACATCAATAGTAAAGCATGTTCTTAACTTTGGAAGGATGGGGATTGGTTGACAGGTAGGTGTCAAAACAGAGATGACCCCTAATCTTTTGGAGATGTGAAGTGTTTGTAGAACAGCCATCGTGTATGCTCCATATAAAGCATCTGTATTAACTGTTACGTACATAGTATAGGCTTTCCTGACTTGGATCCTTCAAGGTAAACACCTGGAAGTAGCTTAACCTACTCCTAGGTGAAGGAACAGAAGATCATAATGATGCTCCTAGGAACACATGCAGATTAATTTCGGAGCTGTCTGACAATACAAGGAGGCCAGCCTAGCGAATACAATTGATTTCAGTCTTTTAGTGTGAACATGTCTTAGTTTAAAAAGAAAATTAGAAATCAGTTGATTTTGTTGTTTTTGTTTGTTTTTTTTTTTTTTAATTTTATGAATTACAAGTAGTCATCTCACATAAGCGGTTAGCAGCGTTTAATGACACTCAACATGGGTGCTGCAACTGTCAGCTTGCCTTAGGAAATGAAAGAGCTGTGGTGTGGATCTTAAGTAAAAAAATATTTCACTTAAAATCATTAAGGATTTCCAAAATATAAGTGGATGCCTAGCTATTAAATTAATAAATGATAAAATGGTACTCTCCTGTTCGAATTATTCTTTGTATTTGTGTTGAGGGGAAAGCTGTGGAGATGACTCCTGTTAATTTTGTAATGATGTTATGGAAAAGATCCATGATCCCATGCAGTGCATTACCTTAGTGGTGCAGGAACACTTAATACAGCACAGTTTTCTTTATCAGACTTGCAATGGCTAGAGAGAGTGATTTGCGTATGGAACATTTGTGCTTGATACAGCATTTCAACTATGAATTCAGCATCCACTTTCTAAGAACAGTGTGTAGTCATACTTCTTAGCAGAGTGCATCGATATTTCTTGAGTCAGGTGAGTCTGCAAAAGAATCTGAGAAGCTGCAAATTAGTGTCCAAACTCACTAAGAAGTTGGGTTATGATTTAAATACCACCTCATATATCACAAAGCTGGATTAATTGCAGCTGAAGCTCCCTTCTCAGTAGTCCTCAGCTGAGCAAGTGTCCCCATGAGATACCTTTTTCAATAGCTGAACATGGATTTTGGTTGGATTGAGGAGGCATGATGACATCTTTGTAACACATGCTCTCCCTGTTGTCTTGACGTTGGGGCTTGAAATACTGCATTGCCTAAAGATGTTGTAACAAATGTTGTAAGAATCTCCACATAACAGGGTAACGGTGTTAGCTCTGTGCAAGGTTTCTGTAAACCCACAAATCCTGTAACTAGCCTCTTTAAGAACCTGTTATAACTGAACATTGTTAAGATGGGGCAAATTTAAGTACTTCTATTAGCCCTTTATGTATTTCTAGAAAATCTTGTTTTGTTTTTTTTTTGGCTACTCCAACATTAGAAATTAATGGAAAGTCTTCAGGCAAGGTCTAAGGAGTTATCTAAAAGAGCCTTCAGTTTCCTGTTTATCCTAGCTGGCATTACAGGTGAGGTGAAATGTTGCTAAGAAGTTATGTTGCTGGTGTCCACCAAGACACTCAGTTCTGTGGTTTCAGGCTCACCGTGTATCTTCTGGTTTACATCTTCTTAAGCAGAACTAACATAATCTGTGTGTGGAAAACAAACTTTCTTTGTTTTCAGGAATAAAAAAAATTCTAATCGTTCTGGTTTGGGATTAGAATTGCTCTGTAATGCTCAGCGAAGTCTTAAATAATATCAGTCCTTTATGCTGCCTTTTTTTTTTTTTCATATTCACTTAAATGATGGTTTTACCAACAGTATAAGTTTTAAGTAAGAGAATTATATGCCTAAATATAGCTGCCAGGTTTCATATTAGATATCCAAAGCAGTCTGGTCTCTAGCTGCAAGTGTAGGCTCCTAGATGCCTTGAGTCTTGCATGTCAATCCTGTATACATGCTTTGTATACCTTTGGATGTATAAAATGGCATTAGGTTCTTATATTTAGATGCTGAAATACCACCTTTTCCATCTGAAGAACGTGAATTGTCATGATAGGTGTGTGTGGACCTAAGTTTTTCGGGGGTTTATACTGACCAATTCAGGCTCCTGTAGATGTCCAATAGAGGTAACATATATAGTACCCTCTATAGTACTGCTGCCTACTTCCTTCCTGTGATAATGGGAATAGAATTGTTGATATACAAATCACAGTGACGTCAGATCTAATGTGAGATGAAAGATGAATGTATTCAGCTTCCTATCTTTTATTCTAACACATTGGAAATCAGTCTCCTAACAAAGATCTATATCAGTCAAGGTATCTTATGCGGATGATAACTTCAACTCTAATGTGTTTTGCTGCTTCTTGTAGTTTAAACTTGCTTCTTGTAGTTAAAACTTCCTTGATTTTTGCAATAAAATATCCCAAGTTATTAATCCTGTGGCATTTAAGTTTAGAAATGTACATAGCAGAAATATTGAGAAAACTGAGCCAGTTTCACTATCCTGATTATTTAGCTAACAGCTAGACAGGATGATGTCTCTTGCTGATCTCGCTTGTGAGTTTATTGGGTATGGGTTTTTTATTCTGAGAGCTGGGTCATGTGAAAAAGGCATGAATGCACCCATCAGAATCTCACAGCATACATAAAAGTGCACACATTGTTCTCATCAGTCTAGCATCAGCTGACAGATGGCACTGCCATCACACAGAAACACAGAATCAGTCTGAAAACCTGATTTTTATTTATATATTTTTTTGGTCATCATGTGCTGTAGGCATTTGGTATAATGCAGACGATGACCTTCAGACATCTTATGAATGTTGGTAGGAGTATAGGAGCAAAAAGCTCTTCTGGCAGTTCTATCCTTCATTTTAGTCCTTGAAAAATTAATCTATTAATCAAAGTTTTACCATAATTCACTCCAGTTTCTTGGTATTAACTAGGCAATGAAATGGCACAAAAGGGCAATTTCTTCTTGAAGCAGACAGCTTTATTCTGTCCAATTTTCTTGACAAGGCATAAATTTTCGGGAGTACTGACTACCAACTTGTGGAGAAAGAAAATGTGGATGAAGTTGGAGACTTGCAGAATTCTGAAGGGTCACACAACTGAAGGGAAGGTTATAACAGCCTTATACGTCTTCTGCAAGGCTTTTCAAATGGAGTACAGCCCACTCTTAGGCACTGCAGTGAACTGTACTACAAAGTATCCCAAACACAGTAGACCAGCAGTGCCAGAAAAGGGGAGGTCTGGAAAAATAAGCTTCCTGCAGTCTCTGGGTGATGAAAATTTGGAGGTCTGCATACTTCGCAGGGGACAACATACATTGAAATCATGAAGACTTGGAAAACTGACCTACCAAATGGTAGTTATAATAGAAGGCCTAAAATAGTAGGAATGAAATAGACCTTAATTAGCTCAAGATAGAGTCTTAAAGGTGCCAGTGTTTTAGTAGCTACTCTGAAGTTAAATTTGACGATAGTGAAGTCTCTGGTAAATATTTAATGAAGCCTTTTCAGAAAGATTGATTCTATTCCCACTTCCCTGCACCTCATTACAATGTTTAAAATGTCAGTAACTTCTCTTTCAAAATTACTAGTGGTAATACAGCAGAGTGTTGTGTTTAATATACTGCAAAGCACTGTTGGGACATAGTAAAGTTTTAAGTCATAGCACAATAAATGAGCATTCTGCTGTTGCCATTTGGGGGAGAGGCAAAGGGTGCACATTTGATTGAAGGGTGCACATCAGCTGTCTTGGCTGACAAATGGAAAAGAGCCAAAATTGATTTAGGTGATTCTCCTCCTCTATTCTGCTCTTATGAGACTCCAGCTTGAGTACTGCATCCAGCTCTGGGGTCCCCATCGTAAGAAGGACATGGACCTGTTGGAGTGACTCCAGAGAAGCACCACAAAATTGATCAGAGGGCTGGAGCACCTCTCCTGTAAAGACAGGCTGAGGGAGTTTGGGACTGTTTAGCCTAGAGAAAAGAAGGCTCCAGGGAGACCTTATAGCAGCCTTCCAATACCTGAAAAGGGCCTACAAAAAAGCTGGAGAGGAACTTTCTACAAGGCCATGTAGTGATACGACAAGCAGTACTGGCTTTAAACAAAAGAGGGTAGATTTAGATTAGATGCAAGGATGAAGTTCTTTACACTGGAAGCAGGTGGCCCAGAGAAGCTGTGGCTGACCCATCCTTGGCAGTGATCAAGGCCAGGTTGGATGGGGCTTTGAGCAGCCTGGTCTAGTGGAAGGTGTCCCTGCCTGTGGCAGGGGGGTTGGAAGTAGATGATCTTTAAATGCCCTTCTGACACAAACCATTCTATGAATCTGTGAAGTCTTTAACAAATAATGCTGTCTCATTTGGTAGAAGGTTTTCAGGGCCCAGAGGCCTGGCTTGACAAGTTAGTGAGTAGATGTTAATCTGGGTTTTTTTGAGCAAGAATCTGCATTTGTCCAGCTACCCTTTTTTCTTCCTGACCTCCTCCAAGTTGAAACTAAGTTACACTGCTTGGATTTGATGTTGGGAGGATAGGACATGGCTGTTCTGATGGAGTCTGTTTTTAGAGTCCTGCGGGCTAGGTACAAAATAAAATCAGCAATCCATACTGCACTTTAATCAGGCCACAAATTTCTGTCTTTCATTTACAGTTGGTTATGGTTCTATGCTGTATGCCTTTCTTGTTTTGGAATATAACTGCTTTTGTGCAGCCACTGCTTTTGTGGATGCATCACTGCTTTTGTGGATACATATTCACCTCTGATGGCTAACTACCAGTGTCTGAAATGGCTGAGGAAGAGGGAAACCTTGAATTTCATATTACTTGGTTTGTATTTTCTTTGCATCTGATTCAAAATAACCCCAACTGGTTTGTTTTTTTTTTTTTCTTCAAAGGATTGCTGTCTGTATAGCAAAATCTTAGGATCTGAGGTAGATAAATGAAGATGCAGAGTGGGAGCAAGGGTGTTAGCCTTGTTTCTAAATGAAAAATTACCTTTCTCTGCACCTATGTTAGATTCTTTTCTTCAATTTTATCCCTCCTTCTATCTGCTCACCTTTTAAATAATTAAAGTCATCAAACGTTTTGCACAGCATAGAGATCTTGAAGTTCCTACAGCTGAAAAAGGTATCAAAGGCAGAGAAGAGAGATCTCTGCTGTTGAACAGCATAGAATAATCTCAATGCCAGAGGAACTGATTCTTTGGTCAAATTTATCTACATGTAGCATCTCTGATGTCTAATAAAGGGTGTGTTCATGCTGTAGTTTGGGCATAACTACTTAAAAAGGTTATTTACTCATGAGACACAAATCAGTGGGAAAGAAGGCTTAGCAAGTTTTAATACTGATCATAGCTTTTGATAAGATTGTCATGTAGGAGCTGTGATGTTTAGTTGGTGTAAATAAATACCTGTTTAGTTTAGTGTTGTAATTTTTTAATGCATTCCTATGGAAAAGAATTCTTCTTTGCTATAATTCAGAGTGTCACTACTCAGGCAAATCAATGTGGGATGCATATAAGGAAATTGGAGGGAAAGCTGTTACTTTCCCAGGACAAGAATGGTAGAAGTACATGCTGCAAACAGGCCAAAAGCTGATTCCAGTAAGCTCATGTCTTCCCACAGAAGAGAAATATAGGTGGCAGTGTGGCAGTTCATTGTCAAGAGCTGTTCAGTACAGCCAACTCTCAAATTGTAAGCACAAAATACTTCGCTTTGTTTGCCAGGATTTTGAGGAGAATGGCTTTTGTGGTGTCCTTAGGAAGCTTTCTTGAGGCATCAAACCATTTCAGGGAAAATCAAAATAGTTGGTTATCTTTGGATAGTGTCTATGTTGTGCAAGTAAAACATAATTACTGTGATGGATAATTATATTGGAAGATGGTTTCAGAAGAATAGGATGGTAGTACTCTGAAAGGCATGACAGTACCAGAAGCTGTTTCTGAGAGTTCAGATCTATATCCTGCCCCTCTTGCTTTAAGAGTTTTAGACTGCTGGAATGGGTCATGAAGTTACTTTCTGCTTGATTCAGGTTTAAGTATAGTCCTGAACAGATCTAGAATTCTGTGCTAATGTCATCTGTCTGACTGCCTTTGTGGATCAACCCTGCCAGTAGGTAAATATGAAAAGTTGACTGTGTTCTGAAGAATCAAGTGACTTAAGGCAGGCATTTCGGAGGACCATATTTATAGTGCAAATTTAAGGTGATGTTGGACTCCTCTTAAGATAATAGCCATTAAACTATTTTCTTTCTGCAGTCTGTGTCTGGAGGGTTTTCTATTAACATCATCCTTCAGATAAGGAAGACTGAGAACAGTTTATGTGAGAATTTTGAAGCTTATTTCCCTGCTGAAGTGTTTAGAATAGGGATATGAAAATCAGCTTTTGTGAAAGTCTTCACATTAGGCATATGGAAGGTGATACTTCCAGATAGGACATGGTCAAACATCTATTTTGTAGCTATCCAGGAATGTATTTAGAAACAAAGGATTACTTATACAGGAAAAAGCCAGCAGCAGAAATGTTTCTATACACAGTGCTTGGAAATACCCCTTGAAGATTGCATGTCTTGGTGTGAAAGCATCTTTACAGATTCTCAGATCTCATGTAGTAACATGGTGGTAACCTGAATCTATTAAACAGCTGCTTGTTTCAGACCAGTGTTTCATTCTTCTGTTGATCTAATTCTTTTTACTGAATGTGACCTCAAGAGGTGACCTGCTCTGATAAGATATGCTAGTTTTACATGCTAACAATGCATACTTAGATTAAAATAAAACTAGGAAACATTTTAGCCCCAACATGATCACAAATTCCAGTAAAACTAAGACTGTGTCCAGCAGTTCAGTGTTCTCAGTCCTTAAAGAGAGTAAGCCTCTGATCAGACTTCCTACATTTTTTTTCTGCTATCATCATCCATTACAAATTGTTTTGCTTTCTTGCCAGCTGCATCTTTTCAATTATTTCTACTGTTACTTGTTAACTTGCCCTTGCCAATATATAGCACCAGTTCTACTGTCTTCCCTCTAACTAATATATTACATTTCAGGGAGTTGATTCACTTGCTCATTCACCTTTCTGAAGCTCTGCGTGAAGCACATCTTAAACTCATACTGGTCATCCCTCCTGCAGTTGCAGCAGGGTGAGTATTTCTATTAAGATGTCAGATTCCAGGTGAGAAATACTTTCTTGTCTGGTATACAATAAATTCAAAGCTTTGTTTATAGCTATGTATCTTATATGAATAAGATATTACTTGAGTTTGATCTTCATGCGTGTTGCACTGAATATCTTAGGAACTACGTGCATTAATACATACCTCATAAGTTTTGATGTCAAAATAACTTGCAGAAGGACCTCCTATCGTGGTGTTAATCCAAAATGTTTGCTAAGAACTGCCAGGAGAACAAGAGCAGAAGCAGTAGTGGAGCTTAATGACTTGTTGCCAAGGTGTGAAAAAGGTGTTGTAAAGGTAGCATATAAAAGAACTTTCTGAGTCTCTGGGCACAATTTAAGTTATGAGAGATAAAAGTTATTCTTAAGTAAGAAAAACAGAGCTACTGGAAGGAATTATATCTATAACTGGGGTTTGGGGTTTAAAAAATTTTTATTTCGACTTCATATGTACAGAAAATGCATTTAGTAAGGAAAAAATGTTCAGAATTGTTGGGGTTCTGTTTATTTGTGCAGTGATTTGAATCTGATGGATGTACTGGTTTACGTGCTCCTCTGGCTCAAGAGCAGTAGGCAGTTCTTACCTTTCAGTGTTTGTAGCAGGGAAATATTTACTTCCTAAGATTGTATTTGTTTAAAAAGTAAAACCCATGTGGAAAATCAGTGTGTAATTTCATTAAATGTGGAAGGAATGTGAATCCTCTTTAAACTTTTACATTTTTAGGAAAAGATTGTATAGTGTCTTTAAGTGATATATAGTAAAATTGAAAAATCACAGTTTTACTATTTCTCTAGTCCTTCTCTGGAAAGAAAAAAAATCACACTCTAGTATTTCGGTATTTCAGGGAGATAGTGTCTAATACTTCAGGGTTTTGTATGATCAATCAGTGATTATGTCCGTGTAAGAGTGAGCAGGTAGAACTAAACACAATGGTGGAAGGTGATTCAGTATTCCAGGACAGTGGTGTGACTTCATTATTGAAATGTGGATGATGCCAGTGCTATACAGCTTTATTAGCAAGAGTTTTGCCAGTGTCTATCTGCCATTTGGTAACATACAGTCATGTTTGGATGCCTTTCCAGGTCAGAAGATGCATGGTATTCTTCCATTGTAAGCATAGCTACCTGTTGTGTTGCCTTGGGGAGAAGTGTTTATGGTATACAACAGTGCTACGAAGATGTACAAGGAATACATCATGTCTTTGAGAAAATTGTGGTAATAAGGGGTTATCTTATCCCCAAAACTACTAGGTTTTGAATCTCTGTATTCCGCTCTCCCCTTTACTTGCTTCTGTCCCTGCCACACTGTGTATAGGCCAAATGTTAGTTACGTATATGTCACGAAGGATTGCCTTTTACTGTCAAGAGTGTGGGAAGCTCCAAATCCCTGTCATTTGTTTTTAAGAGATTTGGTGGGGGCTGTTGTCATATGGGACTGCAGAATAATTGAAGCATAACCTGTTGTAAAGGATTACATAGATGAAACAGTTTTCACGAGGTAGTTGAGATTATGCAGTGGGTTCTGGTAACTGCAGAATAGGTGACAGATGAGACACAGGTACTAATTACATGTCACGCTTATTCCTTATCTCTGAATTTTACCTAATGGAATAGGTACCTACTCCTGGTAATGCAGGTATTTTTGGCTTACTTATTTTGACTTATATTTGGGCTTGGCTTGCTAATAATGATAACTGGGGAAGACATGTAATATTTGCATAGTCAGCAATGCATGATTATTTTGCTCCAAGCTTCTTTTTTTCCTTCAAGCTGTTCAGTAACCTTATGTCTGCACATGAAAATTCAGTACTGTAAGTCAGTCTTAAACAGAGAGCCATATTAGGTATTTTTCAGATGTGAATTAGTAGATAGCTAAAGAAAGATTTAACAGTGTCTTATTTTTCTCACCTTGGCCTGTTTAACAGTGTGGACAGGCTCACAGCCACTACAGTTTGACAGTTTAACAGCACACTTTCAGGATGGTATTGTACAACCTCCAGAATTTCTTGTAGTCTGTCACAATCTTTCAGTGTACATTCATTTTCATGTTACCAAAAAGGCTGAAAAAATGGAATGCCTGAGTAGGCTTTTAAAAGTATAGCCACAGAAAAGACATTTGTTTGTAAGGGTGTCAAGTTTTTGTTGAGTTTTATAGGGAAAACAGGGCATTTCTGCTTACAGATATCTGTGCAGAGCTTAAATGCTGCCTGTTGAAAAGGATCAGGGACTGTGTAGCAGGTGACTGAAAAGTTGCCTATGTGCTGAGATGACTCTTAGTATCTGTAACTACGAGTTAGCACTGTAACTGTGATGTCACCTCTTCTGTAAGTTAGTGATGTAATCCTGTCCAAGCCAATTTCTGAATATAGGATGTGTACTTTTTACCATCTTAAGACTGTGAGCTCAGAACAACATCTACCTGTAATGTTGTTCTTCAATAGCTGCATGAAATCTGATTGAGGTTTATTTTCTGTAAAACTATGTATTTCAGGATGGTTTTTGTTGCTTTGTATTTTTCTCTGTTGCACAGTATAACTGCTTTATATCCTTAAAATGAGATAGGTAGTTTAATGCAAAAATTCCTTTGCTTCCATATGTGGCTGGCCACCAAATATTGATAGGCAGAGGGTGAAGCAAAGTGTTGAAGGTTATAGCAAAAGCAAACAAAATAAATTCCATGTAAATTGGTAGGCAGTTCTGTAAAATAGTATCTTTCTAGAGCCCTTTTCTGTAGGGACTGATGGTATCTGACAGCCAAGCTGCATTTTGAGGAGATTCCTTCTAATCACTCCAACCCCTTTGTTTCTACCTCAGTTCTGGTGGGTTTTGCATCATGTGTTGTGAGACACTTTATGCGTAGAGCAGTGCTAGTTTCTAGTGCATTATGGCATTAAGAGTGTAGATGCAAGTCTTGGGACAACACTAGGCTTTTGCTGTTGTTTCTTTTTCTGTAGGCAGGGTTTGGCTTGTTCCTTTTTCCTATGTTCTGTATGTTCCATGGTCTTTCTGTGTCAGAATTCACACCCTATAATCCCGAGGCGGCTTGGTTCTCTGCTACACTCCAAATCTTGCAAAGAAATGCAGTGTATAGATGGGGTCAAGAATTTATTCTTATTTGTGGCTGGTAATACTTGAGTCTTAAGAAGCCAGCCTTCTCTGTCAAGAGAAGGTTGAGAATCATTCAGATTTGCTTCAGAATATAAATGCTTAGGAGCCGCTTCTGATGCGTGGATGGCTTTGCTGGTAAAACTTTCTACTTACAGGGAAGGTCCCAGGAACTAAACCATGCTATTGGCTATTGCCCTCTGAAATGCTAAGTAAACAGAAGTGTTATATGCTTTGTGGTATTAACTCATTGCACCACAGAGCAATAACTGCAATACTTCTTTAAAAATAAAGACATGGAAATTAAGTCCTTAAAAATCTATTCTTGTCTAATGGTATAACCTTTGCAACATTCACAGACCATTAGTACTCTCACTTCTTGCAGATATCTCTGGAAAGCTGTGGGTTGGTATGCCTTTGCTGGTATGGTAATAACAAATATTTTGAGATTCTTGTGCTTTGATTAAGTCAAAAGTAATGAGAAATTACTATGCCTTCTCTCTTGTCTGTCATTTATTTCAATCTTTCATGCCCTTTTATGATCTACATTTCATCCTAATTGATAGTTCCTTTTTAAAACAATTTTCTGTTGCTATTAATTGTAGTCTATTACAGATAAAGCAAAGGAGAGCACTTTAAAACATTTTTCTAAAGTGCTTTATCACTCACTTCATACAGTTGCTTTTAAAAATGCTAATGCATGCTGTGGTAGAATTTAAGTAATTGCTGTAAACAGTGTTCACATTACAGTACATTTGCTCCTTTTGCTGTTAAGGAGAAAGTGGAGAATAGTAAAAACCTTAAGATTCCCATTCATCGTGGTGTTTATTGACATTACTAGATTAAGTCTCATTGCCAGGAGGACCTATCTCTGTTTTGTTTATATGCAGTCACATGGGGCTCTACAACTAATTTTTCTAAATCCCAAATTAAGAGTTGAAATCACTGTATTTTGCCTTAAACAGAATTTTCTTTGTTATGGTAACTGTATCTTTCAGGACTGTTCTGCAGTTGAACACCATGTTGATGTTTGGACCTTGTGTTGTTGTTGCCCCTCCTGCTGCTGTCCTTTATTGACAGGGTAGGGGATTCGTAGTTCCAAAACCTTTCTGAACTGGGATCAAGAGATGCCCTGTTAGAGCTGGGAAGAGCTGTCTATCTAAAGTACAGTTTTTGAATCTGAAATGTGTTATATGCCTGTCCCTAAATGGCCTTGTCTCTAGAGTAGTAGTGAAGTATTCCTTTTTTCTAACTGTGGGAAATAACACTTGTAGTTTATACATAAGAATCCCAATGTCTCATTCCTCTAAACCAATTATTTTGTTTCTTTATGCATCCCTAAAGTTTCTGGGATTTACTCATGAACCTTTATTGCCCAGGAGAATGCATTAGTCGCATTCTTTTTAATTAGTTCTATTATATATGCCATCTATCTGTCTTGCATTTATGTCTCCCTATTCCATTAACTAGAAAAAATCACTTTACTTCCTGAGTAAATAGGTAGCTGAAAATACGTTTATAAGTTACAGAAGCATTCTAAAATGTTCATAATGTCCATGCGTGCTTTAGAGCTTAGAAGTACATTGGATTTAATGATATCAATAAGCAAAATCCTGACATTTTCTGCCTTACTTGACTTTTTAGGTAGTAAGAATATTCTTAATTTATAGGATAACAAGGCTTCAACCTGAAAGTGCTTCCCATTGTGCATTACATATCTCATGTCTTGAAACTCACTTTGGGTTTTAACACTTAGACATGGTTGAAAGTGTGCTTTAATGGGTCTTATATTCTTTATTTGTTGGAATCACTGTAGACTGTTAATCAAAAATACAGTAAAAGGCATGGAAATAAGTACCATCA